CAGGTTGGAAAACATGTGTCCACAAGTGTGCTAATATTATACAGCCAGACATTTTGACTATCAAAGAACGCCATGTAAAATGCCAAGATGGAAGAGAGGGAGTAAAAGGCGACAAAGATGCTCACCAGCACCAGGATTGTGTGGGTGGCTCTGGTCTCGGGGAAGGTTTTGTGGGAAATGTGCTTGTTCTGAATGTATTGAACCCGCTGCTTATGTCTGTACAAAATCCACACCATGGAGCCGCTGGCCCAGACCATGATTCCCAGAAGCAAAAAATCAACAGAAGCAAGCAAGAGGGCATAGAGTAATATGCTAATTGTATGCTGAAAGATACCAGTGCAGTATGCAAAGTCACGTATCATGGTGTTGTTTCTGTCATGGTTTCGCCCACTCACCCTTAAAGGAGTCACAATCTGTAATAGAAGACTGAGGAGCCAGCAGGTGTAACAGGAGGAGACAATACGGTCTGAGGCTCTCATTTTGAACTCTGTCCACCTGGGTGCACTGGAGCTGACTGTGATGGACTTGAAGCCACTCAGGAGGCTGGTGATGCAGATGGAGCTCCCCTGGACCACTCGATGAAGGTAGAAGAGGAGTTTACAGCCCACGTCACCAAGGAAATCTTTCATTCCCAGAGCTTTCATGGCCTGAGGGACCCCCTTAGAGAGAAGCACCAAGGTGTTGGCTGAACACATGTAGCTGAGAATCAGGTCAATGGGCTTTAGTTTGTGTCCAGCAAATAACAAGAACAAATTAAGACATAAAAGTGAGGAGTTCTCCAGGAGCCCAGCACCAGTTTGGAGGAGGAAGATAACCCCAAATGCCAAGTCACTGGGAATCATTGGGCTGTTGATCATAGATTTTAATATTTTCCTCACAGCCAGAGAAACTTGGAATGAAAAAAATAGTCTTTAAAACAAACATATGCAATTGGTAATTATTTTGGATCTAGAGAAGTTGAGTCACAGCAACCTAAGAAACCATCCTCTGACTTCAAATTTCGGTGTTAGGATCTTCAACATGCATGTGAAAGCTAGACAGTGAATAAGAAAGACCAAAGAAGAATTGACAGCTTTGAATTATAGTGTTGGTGAAGGATATTGAATATACCATGGACTGCCAGAAGAGCAAACAAATGAGTCTTAGAAGAAGTACAGCCAGAATGTTCCTTAAAAGCAAGGATGGCAAGACTTCATCTCACTTGCTTTGACTTGACATGTTAATGCATCTGTCAGTTTGTGGTAGTATGAGGCTTGCGTGTTGCTGTGATGCTGGAAGCTATGCTGCTGGTATTCAAATACCAGCAGGGTCACCCATGGTGGACAGGATTCAGCTGAGCTTCCACACTAAGACAGACTAGGAAGAAGGACCTTGCGGTCTACTTCTAAAAAGAATTAGCCAGTGAAAATCTTATGAATAGCAGAGGAACATTGTCAGATATAATGCCGGAATATGAGCCCCTCAGGTTGGAAGGCAACCAAAAGATGACTGGGGAAGAACTGCTTCCTCAAAGTGGAGTCAACCTAAATGACTTGGATGGATTCAAGCTTTCGGGACCTTCATTTGCTGATTGGGACAACTCAAAATGAGAAGAAACAGCTGCAAACATCCATTAATAATCAGAATGTGGAATGTACGAAGTATGAATCTAGGAAAATTGGAAGTCGTCAAAAATGAAATGGAACACATAAAC